ACACACATCGCTCTCCAAAAGCTCCTGTCGTGGCCCACATCCTCAGCTCGTCAAAGATCATGTCCACCGTGTCTTGTTCATTCTTGATCTGCCCCGAACCAAACACCCTCGCATTCCTTTGTTTCCATAACGTCCAGCAGATGAGCATGACAAAAGAGTCAAAACCTTTCCGAGAGTGCTTGAGAAAACGCTTTCTAGCGTCCGACCACCAATGCCCCAATCTAGAATCATAGGTTGGGCAAAGCTCCATGGGCAACCCCATCCTGGAGATGCAAGTGAACCAGACTTGCCTCGAGAACACACATTGCAGCAATATGTGGTCCACCGTGTCCTCCTCTTGGTCACATAGAAAGCATGTAGAAATTTGATCTTGTAAGTTATGTCTCACTCTTCTGTCAGAAGTCCATAGCCATTATTGGACGGCCAACCACATGAAGATTTTGCAAGCCAGAGGGGCCCAGCACTTCCAAATAGCTCCAAAGTAGTGGAATCTAACTCCTCCCTCACATAACATCTTGTAAGCAGAAGAAGCAGTGTAAGTTCCTGACGCATTCCAAGCCCAAATGGGTCTATCCTCGGACTAAGCATCCAGATGAACCTCCTCAAGGATCTCCCAAAGGCCTATAAACTGGATTAGGCCCTCCGTGCACAGCTCGCCAACTACATCATTCATCCAAGAATGCATATCCAAAGCCTCTCGGACAAGTCTTCTGTTGGCAACTTGCGTACGAACAGTCGTCGCCACCAGTGGAGCAACCTCCGCGATGGTAGCACCCTGGATCCATCTATCCTTCCAGAACAGGGTTTTGTCCCCAGCTCCAACTCTCCATTTCACCAAGCTACCAAACACTTGCACTACCAATTTGTCTGCGGTCAAGGAAAGCCCTTGCCACGGCCTGGAAGCATCCGTGCGTCTAAGCCATTCCCACCTCAACCTTAGGGCAATGCCGTGCTTGTGTAGGTCAATGACGCCTAGCCCTCCCATGAGCTTAGGCCTGCATACTCTCGCCTAAGATACTACACATTTGCCTCCCTTGATTTCCTCAGTCCCGGCCCAGAAGAAGGCCCTACACCCTTTGTCCACTTTGTCTAGTTCCCATTTTGGCGCCTCCGCAACCATAAGGTGGTGAGTAGCCCGCGTTCTCATGACCTGGTTGACAAGAACCAGCCTGCCTGGTCTGGTCACCAAACCCCTTTGCCATCCTGGCAGAATGTGGAGAGCCGCGTCCACCATTGGCTGCCACTCCGATCTTTTCAACTGCCAAATGCTGAGCTGCAATCCAAGGTACTTGCATGGAAAGGTGGCAAGCTTCCAGGGCAACGCCGACTTCACAATATCCTCATCCTCCGGCTCTGCCCGAATCATAATAGCCGCCGATTTAGCAAAATTTACTTTCAGTCCAGAAGCCACTCCAAAGATGGTAAGAGATTCTTTGACTAACTCAAGATCCGGTCGTGTAGGTTTGATGAAAAGAACCACATCATCCGCATACAAAGACAGTCGCTGCATAGGGCTACATCCATTGATGGGACTCATGACTCCAGCCTCATGTGCCTTGATGATGATATGTGTGAGGATATCCATAGCGATAACAAAGAGTAAGGGGGAAATCGAATCCCCTTGCCTCAAGCCTTTAGCATGCATAAACTTATCTCCCGCACACCCATTCACGATCACTCTGGAGCTAGCAGTAGTAAGCAGGGTGGCGATCCAAGAGATCCACCGCTCCGAAAAACCCTTGGCTCTTAACACTTCAAACAAGAACGGCCATGCCAATGAGTCAAAGGCTTTAGTAATGTCGAGCTTGAGCAATACTCCTTTAGCTTTCCTTTTGTGCATCATCCTCGCCACTTGTCTCACGAGAAGGAAATTATCGTGCAAGCATCTCCCTTTTATGAAAGCGGACTGATTCACTTGGACTAGATCCCCCATGCGCGGTCTAAGCCTCGAAGTGAGGAGCTTAGATGCAATCTTGGGCATGCTATGCACAAGACTAATCGGCCTAAAATCGAACACAGAAGAAGCATCTGGGGACTTCGGCAAAAGAGTGATGAGGGCTTGGTTAAGCCTCCCAAAACCCCTCCCATTTCCAAGAAACAATTTATGAATAGCAGCCATCAGATCCATCTTGATCACTTCCCAAGCTTTTTGAAAGAACAAGCCAATGAACCCATCCGGACCCGGAGCTTTATCGGAGGGAAGATCCTTAATGACTGCCCACACCTCCTCTTCTGTAAACACCCGGTCTTGCTCCGAAAGATCCACATGAGCGACTCCGAGACCCTCCAAATCAAGCGTAAACTCTCTAGCAACGTCCTTGCCCAACAAATCCTTGTAAGCATTATAGAAGGCTTCCTCCTTGCCTTTCTGATCCGTGATAGTACGCCCCTCCATGCTCAATGAAGGTATCTAGTTCTTCATACGCCTCCCATTTGCCACCAAATGAAACAAGCGCGTGTTAGCATCCCCTTCTTGGAGCCAAGATATTCTAGACCTTTGCCTGGCAATGGTTCTCTCAAGAGATGCCAACCCAAGCACCAGTTGCTTCAACGTTCTTCTGAGCCATCTTTCCTCCTCCGTGAGCCTCCGGTTTTCCATGGCGCAGTCGAACCGCAAGATAACAATATTTGCAATGGCAATCTGTAGCTTGATATTTCCAATCTCTCTTTGCCCCCAACCGGCAAGAGCTCGAGCCGTGTTGCGAAGCATCACATCCAGCCGCAAGAAAGGATCCGAGATGCCGGCATCACATACCCACGCCTCCTTTACGATATCCAAGAATCCCTCCATTTTAACCCAAAACTTCTCAAAACGGAACCTCTTTTTATAATGCATAGGCTCATGTAGTGTGAGATGCAAGGGGCAGTGATCGGAATGCTCATTGGACAAAGCTTGCAACAGACAATCCGGGTGATCAATCTCCCAGTCCACTGAAACGAACGCACGATCAATCTTGGTAAGCGTGGGCGTCTCCCTTTCATTACTCCACGTGAACTTCCGCCCATGCAAGAAGAGCTCCTTAAGCGCGTTGTTATCCACAAAACGCTTGAACTTCCCCATCATTCTCCGATCTAAATTTGTGTTATTTTTATCAGCCGCATATAAGATAAGATTAAAGTCCCCAATCACGAGCCATGGACCCGAACATAGGGATCTTCTCTCCGAGAGCTCATTCAAGAAATTAATCTTATGCTCATCCTCTTGTGGCCCATATACTACGGTAAGCCACCAAGGTGTTCCCTCCTTAGGTGAGACAAACCCTGTGATGCAATGAGAGTCATTGACAAAGTTTGTTACCATCACCCGAGTGGTGTCCCAAGCCACAAAAATGCCACCTCTCGTCTCCGACGCCGGTAAATAGGTAAAACCATCATAGTTTGGTCCCATGCATTGAAGGATAACAAAAATGTTCACAACCTCTAGCTTAGTTTCTAAAATACATACAATCGCCGCATGCACCGAGTCTACAAATCCTCGAAGTGCCTTCCTCTTGGCCGGGTTGTTAAGACCTCTGACGTTCCAACACACCAACTCCAACGCGTTGACAGGCATCGGAAAGGGTGACTCCAACGCCGTCACACCCTCGAACCTACTGCGCCATAACATGCACCTCCATCCCTGTCTCCCCTGCAAGATTGAGCGGTATGGCCTTCCCAAAGATGGCCGCGATGGCCCTCAGTTGTGGTTCCTGAAGTGGTGAATCAAACACCGTGCGAATCTGACCTAGCGCGTCCTCAGACACGGCCAGATCCTCACAATCAAATCCTAATGTCTTAAGCAGGACCGTTTCAGCTGCCGAAGCCTTAGTCTTCCTAGATCCTCCGGAACAGACAGAACGAGTCGTGCGTCGAGACGTGAATGGGTCTTGTCCAGTCCGAACTCCTTTAAGCCCTTCAAACTCCTTGAGTAAAGGCGGCGCAAGTTTCTTCAGCAGCCCGGCGCAGAAAGTTTTTATGTTACCCAGCGCGGCGATTTCCTTGGGCGAAAGATTTCCTTCCTAGCGCTGCAGCGATTCATCCGCGCGAACAGCCGAATCAGACTGTTGAGCGGTTGTATGCTGGCGCTGGCTCAACCCGCAGTCCTTTTTAAAATGTCTAATCTGAGAAAAAAAGGAAACACTAGCGGGCAGCACATACAAGCACGGGCTCGTTCTATGCGTATGGGTAGGGCGGCGCCACCGCCGCTGATCTACGTGGGGGCCGATCTACTTCTCCGGCCATCCGCCGCCGCCGGCCGGATTCCTCCTACTCATGTGCCTCTGATTTGGATCGAAGTCACGGCGGTAGTGGTGCGGCGGCAGCGGGCGAGGAGGCGAGGGTGGCGGCGATGGGTGGTGAGGGCTGAAGATGAGGTTGTCCTTGTAGGAGGATGCCGGGGACGGGCAGCGCGATGAGGGTGGTGCATCGAAGTTGGAGACCGGCGTGTGTTTCGGCAATGGCTGGAGGGGCAGCTGCGCGGTGGTGGGGAGCAGCGGGTCCGTGTCCATGGCCGGACCATCCGGGCTGGGGGTTTCTTCCCGGATTGTTGATGAATATACTTGGGGATTCGTGATTCTTGTGTCCCTTGATGCGGTGCGAGATTCATTGGGATTTGGGGCGAGGAAGATGGGGGTGCGATTTGGGGGGATCATGCCTCGGATTCTTGGGGTCGCCGGGGATGCGGTGATTGAAGGAGAAGACGGTGGAGGGAGAGAGGGAGGGAGGAGGAGGGGGAGGCTTCGGATTTCAAAAAGAGACTTGGCTCGTTCGATACTGCCAATTCCTTTGGTGCGGATTTTGAGTTGTTAAGAACCCTTGATTGATGCAAATCTTAATTTTGTTTTATGTGGAGCATCAGTGTTGGGGATATCTTGTTAAACATCCAGTTCCCCTGACATGCATGAACTGTTCAGTATAGGATGCCCATCTTATGCAGCTATGTTTGCTTCGTTTACATTGTTTTCTATCATGTGTTATGTTTGCAACATTTCCCTATGCTCTGATTGATAATATGTATTTTGATGTTTTTGCCTAATTTGTGTGTGCCTTTGTTTTGTTGGAACTTGTCAAATCTTGGTCAGAAGGGAATGTTATCTCCTGAGATTGGACAACTTACTAATATGCATATTCTGTAAGCATATTCTATAGTTCCTCTGGTGACGTTTTTTTCTGAACACTTTGGTTTTGACATAACATGTTTCACGCTTTCAACCATAAGATAGTATTTGGTATTTCTGAAACTACCAACTGAATAACAGTCATTTTGCACTTCGATATAGGCTATCATGTTGAGCACAGTAGTAAAGCTGAAACTTCGTAGTGTGTATGTTTTCCTGATGAGGCTTATGGCCTCAGCTTTTGAGCTGTCAATTAACGAACATCAGTTAACTTGGTGTATGTTCTTTCTTCGAGTGTAGTTGGATACAAGACAGGTGTTTCTTCTTGGATCTAGGGGAGAATACAATTTTGCATGGAT